TCGCGTGCTTACCACGAACCTCGTAAAAATACGATATTCCAGCCCTTAAATGGGTAACGAGATCTATCCCTCTATTATTTAACGTAACGCGGAGCGTTGTGAACAATTGTTAACGCTTCGTTCGAAATATTAAAAATCCTTTTCCTCGCTTATATATATATATATAAAATATTTTTATTCGACGATCTTTCTTCGTGAAAGTAATAAGATGAAAACAAGTTAATGGAACAACGAGTTAATGGACTAAATATTTCTTTTAATTGGAGGGACACGTTGGGGCAAAATACGATAACGAAGCACGTCCTTTTTGCCGAAACGTCGAGGAGGATCGAGTCAGCCAGAAAGAAATTAAGCAAAGGTTGATTTATTCCGGTCTATCGAACGAAACGGCCAAGCCAGGCGGGGATTATTCGTTTTATTTGGCAAATATCGAGCCCGTAATCTTGGATTCTGGTCCGGAATAGCGGCGTTGCAACAACGTGGGAAGAAGCGGAGAAAGGAACAGAGAAATATTAGGGGTGGAGAAGAGAGAATGGCGGAGAGAAAGGAAGGGAGAAACGGGGGTGGACGAGCGAACGAACGAACGAAGGGGGGTGTGGGTGGTAGTTGGTCTGACGCAGCAAACAGAAAATAATACCGCGGCCATTGTTCCCGTTTTGCTTTTCCGTCTCGCTTCATTCACTCCCCCGTCCGTTAACATCGGGGGTCTGTTCTAGGAACCCTTCCCCATTGTCGAGTTTCGCTAGCTCCCTTTTACCTTTCTCATCATTTCCCTTCACCTCCTTTCTTCCTCCTCTCCCGCATTTTCCCGCGCGTCTGTCTCGCGCGCCGCCATCCTCCACTCCCCTTCTTCGTTTTCTTTCTTCCTTCTTTTCTTTCGCTCGCGCCCTTTCCCTCGTCGTAGCCATCGTCGTCGTCCTCGAACGGCACACGTATTCCCATATTTTAGCCGGGCCTCTCGAGCGGGACGAGAAAAATCCGCGCTATCCGCGACAGATTGGAGTATTTATTCGGCAAACGGGGAGAGGGAACCGCGATGCCGCTTTGTGTCGCATTTCTCGCCGAGATAAATCAATTTTGTCCACGATACGCATTCATCCTTGACGTTAACGCGTTTCAATTCCTCGTTTTCGATATATCCGATTATATCGAATAAAAATTTCGATTTTTCCTATCTCTCTCTCTCTCGAGATCGAGACGAAAAATAATCTAACGCGACGCGTTTACACGGTTTTCGTTTCGTGGTATCGAATGTAGGGAAGATCAATTTTATTAACAGCCTATCACGCCAGATATCGCGCGTCCTTCTCATTTTTCTGCCACATCAGCCAATACGTGTTTCGTTCCCACTTTGATCGGTCTCGTGTAATAAAATTTGTAATTCCATTTACATGTTCGCTTTCGATTCCCGCTTTCAAAGACATTGGTTCCGACTCGTTTCTCAATTTTATCCCCCGCCGAACACGCCACCTCGATTGTGTTAAGCCCGATATACGCGTTTATAAATCGGCTGCTTTTGCGCCTCCTCCTTTCTTTTTTCCCCTCCTTTTTTTCTCTTTCATTTATTTTATTTTTTTCTATCTTTGTTACCCAGTTTTTTTACTCTTTTCTCCCTCTTCCATTCTTCGTTCGTTTACGCGTTCAATCACGCGGCCCCCTTCCTCCTCTTCGCGAGGTGTAAACGGGAAAAAGAAAACGAACGAAGAATAGAATCGAAACGTTTGTTCGATCGATAGGAGGAGAACGATCTGTCGTGTGGATACATAGGCGAAATGGCATATATATCGTGTGCTTCGTCAAACGAATTAATTTGCCGAGTAATTTTCAATACGAATCGGGGAGGATCGATTCAATTTCGCTTCGTTTCTTTTTTTTTCCCCCTCTCTCTCTACTTTTCTTTATTCCCGGTTCGTTCCGTTTCGCGTTTATTATTTCACCCGACTTCTCGAGATAATCAAGAAATATATCTTTGCCGCGTCATCCACGCTTCGTCGTATTTTTATCAGCCGTTATAAACTCTCGTGACCAAGGCCATGCTCAAAGATTGTCGCTGTTCAACCGGTCTAACCGATAAGAGTTAACAAACTCGCAAGTTCGATTCGATCTCTCTTAATAAGAAATCTTTTTTTCTTTCCTTCTTTCTTTCTCTTTTTGGAATCGCAAGATCCGATCGAAATTTAATTGAAAAACCCGGCGTGCACGATTATTTTCCTTTAACGAGATTCCTGTTCGATCGACCAGTAAAATTTATATCGTCCATAAAATGATACGTCTCAAACATGAATGGCCAGAGAATGAGAAGATATATTCCAAATTATTTTTTTCTTGATTTTTTCCCCTAATAATTAAAATGCATTTCGAATAGTTTCAATACACTCGAAATCGCTTCGCACGGAATGTTTTTCAAAACGGATTCGCTCTTTCCGTTCTCGATCTCAACTATTATTCCGACTATGGCTCTGGATATAATTAACCATTGCTACGATCCGTCCTTTTGTGCATCTCTTCTATAAAGCAGCGATCTTCTCGATTATATCGCGGAAAAATTCCTTTTTAACTCTATTCACGTTTATTTCGAGGAACGAAATAGTGAGAAACCTTCGAATAGGAATTATTTTTTTCATTCAGAATCGTACCTTTTTTTCGTTTTCTTTTTCTTTACCTTTCGCAGGCCGCCAAATCGAAGCTCAAGAATTGGCGAGCGATAAAAGGTTGTTCGGCGGGTTCGATTCAATTTTGCCAAGTTTGGGGCGCGCGGCGTGTGGCGTGATGACGAAACGAGACGTTGTCATCAAACTCGCATCCACTTTTCAGCGAGGGGGGGACAAGCGGTTTCGGAGCGGCCGCGAAAATCCACTTTCGTGCCTCGAGCCCGGTTCATATCCCCGATAATGCATTATTCCGTCGAATAAGACGGTTGGGGAATAGTATTCCGATTAGGAACGTGAAGCACAAAGGAGACTTTGGTCGCCACCCATAATGGGCCCACGAGTTTGTTACGTGAATTATGTCAAGCCTGTAATTGTAGCGCGCGAACAAGATCGAAATTTCCTTGCACGATCTCCTAAAATTATCGAAGAGAGTCGACTTTTCACCGATAAGTTAATCGAGCGTTCCAATAAACGGTGCTCCAACGAAAATTTTGCGGCCAACGAATACTCGAACAGTAAACTCGTAACTCGTTTTTTCCTTCTCCTCTTGAAGAGATTGTCGTAATCGTTTGCCGCGGATATCTCGATGAAAGCGCATTATCCTCGATGAATTAAAAGAGTCCACCACCAAGTGAGAAGCGAACCGATCGACAGTCCATTTTTCTCCAGAGAAGACCAACCATCGAGAGTGGTTGGTGTCACGGGACGGGATTTATTAAGATAGTTGGAAACGCGGGTTTGAGCCGTGAGGTAGAACCGATAAGAAGGACGGAGGAAGCTTAATCGCGGGCAAAGACGAGGCGTTGGGTCGCGCGCACGTACCTCGAGGACGTAAATCTCCTCGAGGATCGACAAAAATTTTGTTACAGTTCCAACAGAAAACTTGTTGCTTCGCGGAAAATCCGGATTTATAGATCCCACATCTCGAATAGGCGCGTGCTCTTTCGTCCTTTCGTCATGGAAAAGTTTCCTCCGCGCGCGAGCTGCAATTCTTCTCGAAGAAGAATCGAGGGAATTAAAAGTGGCGCCGCCGACGACAGACAGACGTAATGGGGGGAAGGGGTTGGCAAGAATCACGATCCGTCTGGCCAACCAAGTCTCCTGTTAATATAGGACATCCTTAAATTCTCGTCAACGGGACGGGAAGGGAAGCGGCAACGTACTCGCCTAACGACCCGTTAGGGTCTAAATCTTGATAAACAGCTGCAAAGATTGTTAACGTTCCTCCATTATTTAGAGGAGAGGCCGAGTTCTCTTGCGGGCCAGCAACGCTGGTGGAAAGGAGAGGGAGGATTGGACGAGGGAGAAAAGGAGGAGGAGGAGGAAGAGGAAGGGGGAGAAAAAAAAGGCAACGAAGAAGAAAAGAAAAGAGGTTGGACGCCGGCCAGACTCGGATGTTTTCTGGTCTGAATGCCGTCGATCGCCAAAAAGCTGGATCGTTCATAGGGCTGTGCCGCGAACGTTTTGTCGCGGGGATGATTGAAATGCATCGTGCCGGCTCGAATACGTCGCGGTTTTAAAATAAACCTTTCTTTTTCTCTCTTTCTCTCTCTCTCTCTCTCTCTATATATATATATGTATCTCTCTATATTTTCTCGATTCGAATGGATTCGAGCAGCGTCGTCATCTCGCGAAAACGTTCTTCTTTCGAGATTTAATACGCGAGCTTGAAATTTGTCGAACGTGATATACAAGGTTCGACGGTGCATTCTTCTGCCGCGAATCGTGCCAAGAGATTGGACGAAAAACGAGCGATATTACAGCGGCTGTTCCAACCGACACACGTGTTTATCCCGCTCACTTCTGCCAACGCACGGCTACTTTCGCGATGTCGTCACGGCGGCGTATCAACGCGAAAAATTACGACTCTCTCTCGTTCCTCGCAACGGAATGGAACGTTACACTTTCGAAATAAAGGGATTACGATGATCGCGCGATCGGCTATCGAGTATTTCGTGCTGCGATGGATGTAGAGCGTTGGATTCAGCGCTTCGACGATTGCGTCGGACGGAACTTCGATGTATAATATTCGTATCTAGGCTGGTCGAAAGCGAGAAAGGAGAAGACAAAGAAATCCGAGGTTCGGTGAAGAAATGAAATCGATTCGAGTATCGCTGGAAGTAGTCCGCGTTTCGATATTCGAGCCGCCTTTATTAAAATGCATGCATTTAAACGAGGAACGTTTTATCTCCTTGACCTCGAAACGATGTTAATTAATACGATATCGTCCTGGTTGAATCGATTCGTTTCGACGAGTTATAAAGGATATTTTTATACGCGTAACGTTCCCGTTACGGACGTGGAACAGAAGAAACGAATAGAACGAAGAGGATGGATGCGATTACTCACCGAGAAAGACGTTCTCGTCGATGTCGTCGGCATGCAGGTCGAGGTCAAGGTCGAGCGCCCCGTTGGTGGGAGCCTGGTGGCTCCTGTTCGCGAGGTCCATCGGCTCGTTTCGACGACGATCCTGGTGGCCCGTGGCCAGAAGCTCGGCCAACAGGGTCAGATAAGACGAGTTGAGCGAGGTCGGACTGGTGGCGCGTAAACAGCCGGGCAACCAGAATCCTAAGAGACCGTGGGGAATCACCGGTACCGCTCCGCTACTCACGAGCCCGCCGTTCAGCAGTTCGCCGCACAACATAGGTGCAGCGATGACCTCAGCTCCTCCCTCGTGACCTTGGCAACGCCTCGATCCCGACTACCTGCGTCAACAGAGAGATTCAACCGAGATTACGGATTAAACGAAGTCGCGGGATTACGCCGGATCGAGTTAAAGGAGGGGAGTTGGGAGGAGGTTAATCGTTTTAAATCGCCACCTTTTCCCCAACCGACTTTCCAACCCCATCCGAAAACGATATACATCCGACGAGACGATTCGTTCAGTCCAATTGAATCGAGGAGAAGGGAAAGGAAGGGAAGAGAGGAAGAATACTACACTCGCTACGAGTATACATTTAAAGAAGAGGAAGAGGAGAAGAGAAACGTGTCGAATCGGCGTTGGCGTGGCCGCCGTAACTTTTAAGCTCGTTACTCTTTCGGGAGGAACCGACCACGAAAACCGAATAACGTGACCAAAGGTGCCGTCGGGAACAAAACTCGAACACCGTCCGGATAACAAAAGAGTTGGCACAAGGCTGGACACAGCCTCCACAACAACAATACGATCCCGCATCCCGATTATCGTGAAATGCGCGCAAATTAATGCACACACGCCCGCATATGATATATCGTGCACGCTCACACGCGCACCGACGAGGCACGAACGCATAACATTCGATTCGCTCGTGAAAAAGAGCAGGAAAAAAGAAGAAAAAAAGAAGACATCGATTCGACACGTCGCGAAATTATATCCGCGCGAGGGAAACGTATTCGACGATTCTCTTCCACGTGGTGCGTGGATCGTGAAATTTTCATACGGCGAAAAATGAAAACTCACCGGCGCCATCCGCACAACCTCTCGTTCGCTGTTGGAGAAAATTCGAGAAGGAGCGTGAAAATGGATAGAATCTCGCGATGGATCGAGCTCGAGAGCCGGCGTAAATGGACTGTGACGAGGAGAAAACCAGAAGCGATCCAACAGGCAACGGAGACATTGGCGGCGTGGAGCGAGCCTGCTGTCCGAGTGATGACGTCACTGGTGAATCGCGTGGGCGTGGATACGCCGGATGATCTCACGTTCGCCGCATCAACGATTCGCCTCCAACCTACGTCGCGCCGCCGCCGTTCGTTTAATCGACTCGAGGTGGCGTCCGTCTCGTGCGTTATCGCGTCCGTAAATCATCGAACGTGGCGAAACGTTCGCTGGCCGAAAAGGTAAAAAAACCGGATAGGAGAGCGCGGCGTAAACAAAGTCGACAGCTGATATATAGGAGGAGGAGAAAATACAAAAAAGAGAGGCGATAATATCTAATACGATCGGGAAACTCGTTGCACGGAACGGAGTCGAGGCGATGAAACGGTGAACGTGGCGTGAAACGTGGCGTTGTTACGAGTCGATCTCTTTCTCCAGCTGGATCTCGAGCTTTCGCATCGAAGCGAGAAATGGAGGAGGAAAATGATCTGCCGTTAATTCGATCGTCTGTGTATCGGGCTATCTGCGACATACATATTTCATGGGAATTCGGATTACACCGCGAGAAATCATAGTAGAGTTCGAGTTCCAGAAATTCCTGACCGGAATTTCGAGCGTGTGCAGCGTGCATTGGCGTAACACAGCGCGTGGGTGTATATATATATATATATATATATATAATATACACCAAGATCGATTACCAATTTTCAACGTGTCTATTTTCGGAAATAACACCGGGGGGATGTTCGCTGAATATCCTATCGGTTCCTCTCGTTTCGCGCCTTGTAAATTCAGTGTTATCCGGACCAGCCGGTTGAAACGGAGGGATTTTCTATCTGCATCATCGTTGCTTTGAAAATTATAAGAGCGAGGGGCAAACTTGTAACGCAATTTGTGGAATGCGCGACTGAAATAGAATCTCCGTGTTGCAACTTGGAATATACATCCATCGGTTCATGGCCATTTTCGTTAACGTTGCGTCAGCTTTGTTCGATCTCACGGAAGTATAACGTTTCACGATTATTAGATGGAAGAGAGAGAGAGAGAGAGAGAATGGAAAAGAATCGAAGAAGCGATTTAATTTTCTGAAAAAAAAAAAAGACAATTGCAAGTCGTTGGATTCCAAATAGATAGAAGGAAGAACGATCCTTTACTATATGCACTATTACTGTACACGGCGTGCACGCGAACGGAATATTCGTTCGAAGATAACGTTACGAAATCTTGGACAACGGCGTATTTGGTCGGTGAATTTATTCTGAAAATCATTCGAGAGAGATACAACGTTCCGTTCGATGGGGAGTGACGCATCGTATGGATAAATTTCAATAATTTCGTTTAATGATATCGTTATTAAAGATTAATGAACCGTGTAGCTTATATCCTCCATTTAAAATTGAAACGATATTCCAATTTGTCATCCGCATATAATGCAGACGTACGATATCTATATTGAATTTAATAGATGTATACGTATATGTTCGAGAAAGGATATTTCTCTCTCTCTCTCTCTCTATCTCTCTTTCTTCTTCTTCCTCCCCCAACATTTTTAATTTGCAAAATCCGCTCGTACACGTTCCATTCGCCACAACTTTCCATCGTCCACGTTAAACTTCGTTTCAATCCCAATCGTGTAACAAGTTTCGAATTGATCAGCGCTAATAGCGCGATAGGTGCAAATATTAACAATGCATTTTCTCTGTCGGCATAGCTCGTGTGATGTTTGCCTTCGTGTTTCGCCGAGCATCGTAACGATCAACAAATGTTCCTCCTGTGGTTTTTTTTTTTAAAACAAAGAAACAATAATTCGACGAATAACAGATCGATTCCTCTTCTTTCTCCCTCGGATGATGAAATACGCCGTCGACAACGATGTGCGTGGTCAAAATACGGGGATGATAAAACGATCGAGACGCGCAAAATTGACAAAACGACGTGGATATGAAGTCGAATCGATATCGGCATTAAAACTTAGGCGGTCGAAGCGTTCGCTTCACAGAACTTGATCGTTCCATTTCCTTTTTCTCTGATTGCACGTGATTCGAGCAACGTTTCATGATCGTCGAATTACACCGTTACCGGTATAAATGAATCATGGCCGGCTACGAATATCGCGATACAGATATTAAGAGAGAGAGAGAGAGAAGTTGGGAGATAACAACAAGCGGGAAACGAGGAGGGGGTTGAAGGAAGGCATCGACCAGGAGCGGCAGACGAACGGGCGCCATCACCACCCCTACCCTCGCCACTCCGCCCTTTATTCAACGGCTTATCCAAAACTGGAACAACCCCTTGCTCGGCTTTAAAGCACGAAACGTATGAGCACCGGGCACGAGATATTCGTTCCACCTTCGTGGCCATTCATAAAACAACCTTAAACGCAGCTTTTAGCCGCTAAATACGCGGTGATTTATAGCAGTATCTTCACCGTGGCTCGTTTCACGGGTCGTTAAACCTCGAGGCAAGGGAGAGGGACGACGATCGGTCAACGTGGCATTTTTCGTATTTTGACGCCGCCTCGGTTAATTTCCCCTTCACCATTTATTTGCATCGCTCGTTCGAATTCGATCGCGCCACGAGGATATCGCGCTCCCAATTTCCTCCAATCTTACATCCCCGCGCGGTAGTCGTCGGCCCGGAAAAAAAGGATAGCAAATTTTCGAACTCGTTTGCAGCTACGAATTTCTCCTCCCCCATCGCTTCGATTCCCAAGGGCCATTCAACTCTTGCCGCATTCGCAAAGTACCAGTCCAAGTTCTCGCGCGCGGGGTCGATAGTCGTATAAACGAGTGGCAAGTTTTCCCGATACAGGACTCGGCGAGTTGTCGCTCAGCGCCACGTATATACACCGAATTCCGCTCCATCGTTTCCACCCCTCCCTTCCCTTTCTCTGTCTGGGTAAACATCGTCGACGCGTCGTTACCGGCTTCCAATCTCGCCTCCTGCCCGCGAAAATCCGGCGGGATATCACCTGGCGGAAAATCGTGACGTCGTCGAACCTGCGTCGAGCTTATGCAATACTCGGCCTCGATATCGCGATGACGCTCTACCCCCGAGGCTCTAGGATAGGGCCTCCCTACCACGTTTTATAACGTGGCTTACTCGATCTATGCCCGCACACGTGTGTACGTATACATCTATGGAAATATCAATCAGAGCGGAACCGGGAATATCAAACGTACGCGATGATAAAATATTTACACGGGTAATACGCGCACGTGATTGTAAAAAAAGCGACGCGTTTCGTTTTCGAATGCGTTTCGTTGGAATAGAAATGGGGAGGGGAGGAAAGAAAAGAAGAGATATAGAAATTGCAGCGATGAGAAAGTTGAACGAATTTTTTATCTCGCTGCACACCGAGTTTAAGAGAAGTAGGTAGTAGTAGTAAGTAGCTCGTCGAGAGACGAACGTCATTTGCTTCCTCCCCTCATCCCTCCCCCAGAATTCGAAGAAGAAACGAAATCTTTTAAATCGAAGACGAACTCCTCCTCTCCGATAGAAGAATCTCGTCATTAAGATTTTTGATTTGGATGCAAATAGGCTGCTAGTTTCCCCCGCGATGCTTTCATCCCTTCGGGATATTTCGCGTAAATGTAAATCGACTTTATCTCCCTGCAAACAGGAGGATGAAGAAAAACTTGAGAACGCGACGCGAAATTCTTCCTCTTCCAACTTTTGTAATCAGTTTCAGCGTAAAACGATAATAACACCTCACCTTCCCCTCCCTCCTTCCTTTGTCCTCCAATTTTTTCCCGTTTCCCCAATCCTCGTGGAGGGTAGGACGACGAACGTAGAGGCGTCTTCACCCCACCTTCAATCCCATCGCGAGAAGCTTTCCACTCGAATTAAGATTTCAGGTTCGGGAGAAGGTTTCGGGTCAAGGGACATACCGAGCCGAAATGGATTTCGCCCATGTGCAACGCAACCAGGTAAGGCGAGACGTAATTTACCGGATTCTGCTTGTTACACCGCTCGTACGACGTCCTGTCGCCGTGCCGTAGCTCGTAAAGACGACAAACTCGACGTAATTTTATCCCGTCTGGTCGCGCCTATATATATATGTGTACAATGTATATACACTAACGCGCCTTTCGTTCCAAATGAGATTTTTCCCTCGTGACAGGTATGTTA